CTATTTCACTCACCTTGAAGACACAACAACATCAAACTCCATTGAAAAAGACCCATAGTGACTCCATTGAAGACCTATTGCATTGTTGAAAGTGAGCATCTCCCTCCTGTTTCGTTTTTCGTCTATCTGCACTCTTTTGACAACTCTATTGAAAACTTACAACTCCATCTATCTCTGATTTTTCATAAATCCTTGTTTTTTGCTAGAAAAAATTCGATTTTGCTCATTTGGTACTAGTTAGCTGAATGAAAAAAGTTTATTCGATTTTTAACTTTCAAAACACATAAAAAAATTCAGAACTTGATTTCCGAAATAAATTCTTAAATTCGAAAGTTGAGCTTCAAATTTGGTTTTCGGAACTTGATTTTTGAATAAAATCAATAATTTTGGCAATTGATATCCGAAAAAAAGTAGGCTATGATGGCTAAGTTTTGGTATGAAATGATCATACTAGGTCTTGGATTCGAGTTCGTAGACTATGCCCTTCACCAACTGAACACTGATCTTTCACTGAAGTTGTTTCTTGACTTCCATCTATATTGAAAATATGGAGTTCGTATTGTGTGGACTAAACTCTTTTTGCTAATCCAAACATAATAAGAAGAAGACGAAACAATTTGTCTTAGATTTGCAAACACTTTAGGAAACTGTTGAAAACTACAGGGTAATGTATTGATATGAAAGTTTGTGACTTTTTCATAGATTAGTCGTTGCGTTGGCTTTGAAACTTGTAAGTACACGCACTAGAAATTTAATAATCCTTTCACTTTATTTAAACTAAGAAATAATGGAGGAAGTAAGAAATAATGACGAAATTAGGGTTTATTTTTATTTATTTTTTTTACTTAAAAGATATGTACTGAGATTTTTTTTTATTTTAAAATGATGTTTAGAGAGAAAATTTTGATTTAATATTATGGGTGTGTTTTGATATCCATTAGGGTCATTTTACTCTATGATATAATTGTCATTAAAATAATATTTTGAGTGCTGCTATTAGCACCTGCTAAAAATCTTTGGACCCTCCATTTTATAATTTTTTTTATTACAATTATACCCTAAAGTAAAATTACATTAAAAGACATTATTAAATAGAACACCCACCTATCAATAAGAACTAATACTCTATAATATTGGACACCCACCCCCACCCCCACCCTCACCTCCAACTCCAACTCCAACTCCAACTATACGTATTCCATGTTTGTAAACCCTAAATCTATTAGTTTTTCTAATCAACTAATATAAACCCTAAATCTATTATTTTTCATAATCATCTTAAATCCTGAATGTGTCATCTTCATCACCATCATCAACGCTATTGAACTTGAAAGTTTTGCTTAAAGTATAACGTATGCTTTATCACTTATTTCACTGTGTAGAGCAATGGAGGACGAGGACAACAATTCTAGTGAGACCAGCGTTCCATTAATAAGTTTATCTGTCTTGTATTAACATTCTCGGTCGTTTTCAGTCGTTCCCTTTTCGTTCGAGCTGTTCGGTACTGGTTTGCTGACTGTTAGAATTATGTTCGGTAATATAGTACTGAACATAATCCTTTCGTTCAATACATAGGTTCCGAACATTAATGCAGATAGTCAGTTATGTAATTTTCTTTGTTAAACTAACTTAGAATGGAAAAGAGTGAATTAGAATGGATTTAAGTTATGTATTTTGAATGGATTTAATTCATGTTATTTCAAGTTACACAGTGATGAACAAATTTTGTTCGGACATACAGTGCTGATAGGATCATTATTGTTCGACAAAACAGTTATGAACAAAATGCATTTTTTCGACAACACAGTGGTGAACAAATTGTTTTGGGCTACATTCAGAATTCTGATGGCGATTCAGACGATGATTATGTTTTTCCTCATCTTGCAAACGGTTATGCAAATCCCGTAGAGATTGGAGTATCTTCGATCGATCTCGGCGATGACGAAGATACAAAAAGCAACGAAGAAGATAATGATGAGAGGACAAGAGTTGTCAGAATGCTTCGTTGACGGTCGAGACGACGACAAGAGTGATGGAGGGTTGGGGTCCAAGAATTCTACACTGGACCAAAGCTCCAAACTCTGAAGATTGAATGAGTCAAGGAAAGAGAGAGATGAAAAATTAGGTGGGTGTGCATTTCGTTGTGAAAATATTATGAATATGGATAGATTTGGTAATAAGTGGGGTGCTCAAAAAAATATTATTAAAATTTAGGGTTTAGGATTGGGGTCCAAAGAAATGGGGAGTCTAAATAATTTTGGTAAGTGCTAATAGCAGCACTCTAATTTTTCATTAAGTGTGTGTACTGAAATAAGTAAGTGTGTGTAAATAGAATTTTTTTTTTGTGAGAGAAGAAAGTGTATTAAAAGTTGGGAAATGACTTTTAACTCACTTCCCAAAATAGGCCTTAGTGATTTGTCCACAGTGAGGTAAGATTTTGAAATTTGATTGAGTTTGCTTTTCAATTTAAATTTTGGCAATTATAACATCTTGTGGCCAGCGACAAACTTCACTGCGAGTGAATATTAGTTGATGTGCACGTTAAACTGGCAAGACACCTCGTGGGAAATTACAGAAAATAAAAGAAAAAACTCAAATAAAAGAACATTATCAAAGTGTACATAACAAAGGAAAATCTTTCGTAACTTGAATTGAGCTGTTTCGAATGGGTCAAATCACTATTTACTGGTCAACCAGTCAGACAATTACTCAAACGGCCAAGTAAAATATTTTTTTATCGCGATTGTTATTTTATCAATTATGACTAGCAGCATTTTTACCGAACGATCGGTCAAACGACCGACTAAATGACTAACTAAATGGTTGAAATTCTAACCATTCAAGGACAGCACAAATTCGAACTAAACAGCCAAGCTCTAGTAAATAATAAAAAATGTGTGACCAAAATTAGTAAAGTGAAATCACATCTAGGCAATTCACCCTCACTCGTGTCGCGCCCATATAATCGGCGAGTTGAACCAACCAACCAGTGCATATCTCTCTCTCTCTCGTTCTCACAATCCCTCTCTGTTCTTTGTGATCTTAAGAGGTAGATCGTCCAAATCGCTACGAATTTTGAGTAAGTTTCTTTCTTTTATTGATTCAATTCATTGCAAGGTAGTTGATTTTTTAATTCAAGGTCTGTTTGTTTCTGAGGAAAATATATTCCCGGAAAATTTCCACCTCTCATACTCAATTGACATAGATGGTGTCTTTGAAAGAAAGTTTCTTTGTAGATGGATTGAAGATACATAGCAAATTCTGGAATTTTGTTTTTGTCTTTCTCATTAATTCATGGCACAACATTGAATGTGAAACCCTAAAGATCGGATGTGTATATGTTAAAAATATGGTGATTGGTTGGGCTATTCATGTAAAACTTGTCGTTTGGCTTGGTAATGCTTGTGGGTCTTATATAATTTGAGGTTATTAGGGCTTATACGAGTCCAACTTTGTGTTTTTGTTTGCACCAATCTCGTATGATAATTCTTTGAGGTCTTATAAATCTATATTTTCTTGATTTGCTAAGCTTTATTTTCCCTCTCTGTCTCATAATGTTTTTGCTCAATTCATTTTTTGTTTTTGCTTGGAAATTTGTGGTTCCTAGGGATTTGAATGTATTTACTCTGTCTGGTTGGTGGGAGCAAGATAGAACTCCACCTTTCGATTGTGATTTATATTTTCATATGCTTTTCTGAACACAATATCTGGAATTTTTTGGTAAATTTTGTAAGTGGAATTTCATATGGGCGGGGAAAGTCACTGTAGTTTTAAAAAATTGAAAAATGCAAGAAGAAAAATTCAACGTTTTTCAATCATAAAGTTCAGTGTTAGTGACGGAATAAGATGGAAACCTCTCCACTAGGCCTAGCAAGATTGTGTTTTATTAACTGAGCAATTTAAAATTGTGTTGAGTTTATGCGGTCCATTAAAAATCAAAACAACATAAAGAATTGAAAGTTTGGATGCAGGAGTTGGCCCAAACTCTGATCACAATCCACAGAATAAAAAAATAATCTGCGGAAAGTAAAATAAAGCAATCAAACCAACTACCACAGGTCTGTTACAAAAAAAAAAACCAACTACCACAGGAACTCACAGATTTACATGGAAACCTTGAAGAAAACTATCTCTGCGGTAAAACGGCAGGCACCTTTTTAGCAAGTCAATCCATTATTTTTTTGAGTAGGTAAGGAGTCTCGGACTTGAGTATATTTGAGGAATGTGACCTAAACCGTTACAATTATCCCTAGGGAGTGACAAGTCAATCCACTATAATAAGCGATATTACATGACTTGTAAGTCGATTTATACCTAACCCCAGACACGCTTCTTCTATCCATGAACACTCGTTTGATCTCCACTCCAGTAGTGGCTCCAACCTATCCTTAAGTTTTGGCTATAGAAATTGCCATCCTAAAACTGGTAAACATGTCTATATCTTACAATATTTTCATTTCCTTGGTCTTTTCCTGCAATCAAACGGGGGTTAGGGGTTAGGGGTTATTACGATCTTGTCAACAATGGAAAGATACTTGTGTCTGATAGCTCATTTGAACCTCAAAGGTTCTCTAAAGGTGAAGCCATACATAAGCTGAAGAATGAAGGTTAAATTGAATGAAGCTCAGCAAGATAAATATTTTAAAGATTGACTCAACGATGACTGTTGATACAAAGGTCTTCACCTGGATGACAAAGTTAATGAGATTTCACTCAGTTCAAAATGTTTTTGTAAGCTTTCGTTTGTTAAAGGAAGGTGAATTGATTTTTTTTCCCCCTTGTGCTTTGTAGTGCTCATTCTTTTTTGGTTTTCTTGATGAATTTAGGTTTCTTTTCTTTTCGTAGAATATTTTGTGTATAACATGCTTATTAGTGATGCCGCAAAATTCTCACGTGGATAATTTTTATTAATGATAAGGAAACAAAATATATTAGGTATTACTCATAGTTGGAATTTATGATTGATAAATGTAATCATTGAATGACTGCTTTTATTGCAGTGGATTTTGAGGTTGATAGTGATGCCAATGGTGAAGTGGTGGGTAATTCTGTTGATGTGGAATACAGAGCTGGTGATGAAAATGGAATGGGTGGAAATTCTGTAGAAGAGTTATTTCAACAAAATCAGGATGATAAGGTGACTCAAGTTCTTTCTGGGAAGGAAATGATTCCAGTTGATGAGCCCCAAGCTCCAGTAGACGAGCCCTATCTGAACCAGGAGTTCGAACCCGAAGCAGAAGCTTATGCATTTTATAATGCTTATGCAACAAGAGTGGGTTTTGTCATCCGTGTGAGCAAGCTCTCTCGATCAAGGCATGATGGATCTGCCATAGGTAGGGCACTTGTCTGTAATAAAGAGAGATTTCGCATGCCAGACAAGCGTGAAAAAATTGTACGACAAAGGACTGAAACAAGGGTTGGTTGCAGAGCAATGATTTTAGTTAGGAAAGTAAGCTCTGGGAAATGGGTTGTTACGAAGTTTGTAAAGGAGCACACTCATCCTTTCACTCCTGGAAAAGGTTGAAGGGACTTGGTCTATGATCAATGTCCGGTTAGTTCTTGCTTCTTCATTATAAAATTTTGTTCATAATATTGTTAAATTTTCTTTATATAACATTCAGTTTATCTTGCTGAAAATACTGTCATAAATCAGCTTTGAAGATTCACAATTATTGTGGTCATCTATGTGGAACTGGGGGAAACCTGGGTAAGCTCGTGCAAAGTTTCTTTAAGGCCAGTATCTTCTGTGAAGATACACTATATAAAATACAAGCAACAAACAAGTCAAGAAGCTACTCTATGTAAAAAAAATTAAAAAAATTAAAAATAAATAACAATAATAATAATCTATGAGAGAAAAACTTATACTATCTAATAACCTCCTAATTTGTCATTATCTGAAATTCCCAAGTGTTAAATAATCTCATGTTGAATGGCAAGGAGGAATTAAATTCTTTGTTTAATCTAGGTTTGCTCTTCAATTGTAATAACGTCAATCAATATTGTTGGCCTATATTTGTATTGCATTTTACTTTCTTGTGCATCTTGTTTTACAGAATGAACGCAATAAAATTCGGGAACTGTCCCAACAGCTGGCCATTGAGAAAAAGCGAGCTGCAACATATAAAAGGCACTTGGAGATGGTCTTTGAGCACATTGAAGAGCACAATCAGAGTCTCTCAAAGAAGATCCAAGGCATAGTAGACAGTGTAAGGGAGATGGAGTCCAAAGAACAATAAGTCATTGATAGTTTTCTACATTATTTAGGTTTTTGTTTTGAATTTTATTTTTATATGGTAAACAAAACAAGGAAAAAAACATGGGAAAGGCTATCGGATAAGGTGTACATTACTATGATCATGGTTTTGATTTTACTATTTTTCCAGCTTTGTTCTGGCTTTTGTTAGAGTGGAATCTCTGTATAATTATGCTCTTTTTAGGAAAATAGGTGGTAAATGTATATTCAATTGAGCTGATCCCGGCACCAATTGTTCCATGAAATTGGATAATTTACATGGTTTTTGATGGAAAAGTTGAAATAAGCCTTTCCAGTTTTTTTTTCCCATTGTATTTACATGATTTTATTTGTTCTTAGTAGCTTTTCATATTCATTTAGGCAATGTTCTAAAGATTGTTGAATACACAAAGTTTTTTCTTGTCTTTGTTTCTTTGGGTCTCTAAGAAAACCACACAGGTTGCTAGATTTTGCTCTTTAAAGTTGTTTTTGTTTCATATATGTATATATATATATATGTTTGTATTTATCTTTGTTTCATATTTATTTATTTATTTATTTTTGCTCTCAAATTCACAAGTTTCACTTTGCTGTGTAGAAACAGGGTTTGAAGACTTCTATATATTAGGAAAGAACTCAAAAATTGGACCTGCTTATTGGATCAATTTTTTTAAAAAAAATTTAAGAATACAAAAATTAACACCAATTGAATATAAGCTTTGTTACGTGAAGTGGGTCTTATGTTTTTATGAATTTCACACGAATGTGTGAAGAGGCTGTGTCCAATTGTGATTAATTTATGTGTAAATAGGATAATTGACTCTGTTCGGTGTGATTTTTAGAATATATTTTTATTTTTTTATTTTAAAATGATTAAAGAAAATTTGGTGAAAAAAAAAAAGAATTTCATATATGATTTTATTTTTTTGAGGGAGAAAACAATTTTAAAAATATTTTTTAATTTTTTTTTAAATTAACTTTTTTCTTAAAAAATTGAAAAAATAAAATTCTTTGTGAGTTTTTTTAAGGTTCTCTTTGTTTCGACGTAAATATATATATATATATATTTTAGCATTTGGTTAACACTTGAAACTAAAAGAATTTATTGCCAAAAAAAGAAACTTTGATTCAATAAAGTGTCATTCATGACTTTTTAGTGAGTTAAGATATTTATTTGAAAATGCTAAATGCAGAAATTGATAAAGTGTCATTCATTCAACTTTGTAGAAATTGATTTATGAAATTTTTAAAGGTAAACTATTTTTGAAAAAACGACGTAAATTTTACTTAATTTTTGTTCAACCAAATAATAAAAAATGAGTAAAATATTTTTGATCAAAACAAATTGTCAAAACAATTGGAGCCTTAGTTTTGAAAAATTCAAACCAAAAGAGACTGTGGAAAACACTATGGTATACATGTGGCGTAACTAAAGAACTCATAGTGATAATTAAAATAATGTCATAATTAAATAAAAAAATTGATCATGACTATATATGTTACACCCTTTTAAAATGGTGTGAGAAGGGAACCCAACAAGTTTAATACTCTATCCATACCAAAATTTTAGATAGCATTTGATAGAGTTTTAAAATTATAATTTAAGAATATAATTGTATTTTGAGTTTGTGAGTTTTAAAAATATGATTTGAGTGTGAAAAATTTGTTTGGTTATGAGTTTTGAAAAAAGTTTTGAATTGAGTTTGAAATTTTTGATGTGACATATGATATTTAATTCAAAAACTTATAACTTATAATCAAACACACAATCCAAAATTCTATTCAAAACTCATAAATTTTTTTAAAAAAAAGTTCTAAAATATTTGTTATTTGAAATATAAAAATAACTGGTGCTAAAAAAAAAAAAAAACTATTCCGGTCAACCGACCGGATGTCCGGGGGACATCTGAGAGAATGATCGGGTAGACATATTTTCAAAAGTGGGTGTGGAATCAATATTTAAAAATTCTAACCAAACACATCACTCAAACCAAAGTATAGAATTAAGTTTTTAAAACTCCACCAAACACTGCCTGCCATTTTTAAGGAATTTATCTTCTTTTTTTTTTTTTGTAGTACAATTATTATACTTCAAAAATATTAATTTTTTAAAATTATCCTTTGATTTTTTTTTAAAGGATAAATTACAGTTATACCTTTTAAGGTTTGGATTTAATACATATCATTCCTAACGTTTGGAAAATCACATTAACCCTATTGTCATTGTAATTATTAAACGGAATGAAAATATTAAACACATGCACTCTCTCTTTTCTTGCTTTACTTTACTTTCTTTTTTTTTTTTTTCTTTCCTTTGATTTACTTTTTTTTTTTCAATGTAATTTCCTCTGTTTTTTTACTAAGAGTTGTTGCCTTTTATATAAGTAGGGGATTTGTGAAATGAGACTATTAACTACAGGGGTGAGAATGTAATTTTCAGAACGTCAAAATTAAAATATAATTAGTCCAAATCTCATGAGGTGTCAGTGTAATTTACTGTTATTGAAAATATCAATTGTCATTATTATACTTTTTGTGTATAAATTTAAAAGAATGACAAAATAAAAAATTTATATTATTTTAATTATTAATTTTTTTAAAAAAAACTAATATCTAAAGGTAATGAAAAATCAACAATGATAGAGACCACTAATTTTGGAGCTCTAAAAAGACCACTAATGACATGGTACTCAATAAAAAAAGAAAAAAAAATACAACACCAAGGCCAAAACATCAAATCATTCCTGGTGGGGCCCACTGCCACATCATTAGTGATAGTACTAATTAGTACTCTCACTCATTTTCCATGAAAAATACAACAGGTACTGAAATATTGTGAGAGGACGGAGTAACTCTTTGAATCCCAGCCGTCGATGCATGTTACCTCCTCTTTCGCGCCTCTCTCGAAGTCCATCACACAGCAGCAGCACATCATCTCTCTCACCTCTGTCGTCAAACTTCACCCTAAACCTAACCCTTACCCTAACCTTAACCCCGCCTACACTCTCTTCTCCACTCTCATCCTAGAAACCCTAACCCTCAAGCTTTCGGCGTCACTCTCACTCTCACTCTCACTCGCACTCGCCAGCGATTACAATGAGTTCATACTCCACATCCATATCAGCCTCAAGCTCAAGCTCTCAGGCAGTGATTGTCTCTCTTCATCTCCGTCGACTACAGTAAGTCCACACTCTACATCCACTGATTGATTCCCTCAAGGCCTTACCCGAAAGACACCCATAATTTTTTAAACCCTAATTTCTTTAAAAACCAAAGTTTTTAGAAAAGCCTTAATTTTTTGAAACCCTAAGCTCAATTTTGTTCGTAAAATTTCCCCAGACTTATCCTCACGAATATATTAAACAAAAATCAGTGTATCATTGTTTCCAGATGTTGTTCATGTTTTGATTCAACTGTTGATATTTGTTTTGTTTTTGGTAAGTTTAGTTTTCGTTGTCTATTGAAAAAACCAACCAGACAAACCTATCAATTATACAACAAACAGTTGGATATAGTTTTTGAATAATGAGAACCAAAACCTTCCGTTTGGTTTTGATATTTTTGGTTAATTATAAAAATGCCATTGCCACATGATTCAAATAATTTTCCTTTTAGAATTAGCTTGTTCACAAATTAGATAATAAAAAAAGTAGTGGATAAGCTTTCTTCAGATGAATGACAGAGTCTTTAATTAGAAGAGGAAAAGAAATTAAACAATTCTTAATCTAATTGAAGAAGTTAGATTTAGAATGATCTCTTGGATGCATATTTAGAATAATCATGTAAACTGGCAGCCCTGCCTAGCTTGAAACGTACATGTCATGCAAGAATGAATAACTTGTTATTTCCATTAAGGGGTACCATGACATGTTTAAATAATTTTAGTAACCCAATCCTTTTCAATGAAAAAAATATGTAAAATAGGATTTTTCGTTCAATATAGTCTTTTTGTTTCCTATTTGAGATACTAAAATTTTCATTTACTGTTTTGAAGTCAATCTAGTATACATAAAATAAATAAAAAACAAGGTTTTGATTTACATAATTTAAGTCACCTATTCAGTTGAATAAAAACAAAGTCACCCTATTCAATTGAATAAAAACTATGTAAAATAGGATTTAGGGGTCAATATAGTTTTCTATTTGAGATAGTCTAAAATTTTTATTTACTATTTTGGAGTCAATCTAATAAATAAACATTAAAAAAAAGGTATAGTATTTTTAAATTGGAGAAATGGGTTTGAGTTTAAATAAAACCATTCATTTGTCTCCAAAAATGGAGTCTTCTAAAAAACAAGGGAAAAAAATATTTCAATCTTTTAATTGACAATTGATGTTGACAAATTGAAGTTCAACCTTTTCTAAGAAATCATCTCAACATAAGCCTCATTTCGCCTTACTTTTGATTCAATTTATTTCCAACATTGAGCCCATTTTATTTTTTTCCACTATAATGCTATTATTGTCTACGTTCTTGTTACAACATAACCACTACTGGCACCTCCAATCGTGCAACACACGATGCCTCGCCACTAGTATATATATCTAGTCGTGACGAAGTCTCTTAACTATGTATTTTTTCTTCCCAGATAACAGGAATACATAATTTCAGTTGAAGTCATCAACCTAATTTGAAGACATTGTTGGATTTGAGTTGGGCATATTATTCTTAAAGATGAAGAAGATGATAGCTCTAGGGTTTGAGGGGTTAGCCAATAAGATTGGTGTTGGGGTTGTGACCCTTGATGGCTCAATTTTATCAAACCCAAGACACACCTATGTTACCCCACCAGGGCAGGGATTCCTTCCCCGAGAAACTGCCCAACACCATCTCCAATACATCATGCCGCTTATCAAATCTACTCTCAAGACTGCGCAGATAACCCCAAATGACATTGGCTGTCCTTGTTACACTAAAGGACCAGGCATGGGTGCGCCATTACAGGTTGCCACTGTTGTTGTTCGGGTTCTTTCACAGATTTGGAAGAAACCCATTGTTGCAGTAAATCATTGTGTTGCTCATATTGAGATGAGAAGGGTTGTCACTGGAGCAGATGACCCTGTTGTGCTATATGTAAGTGGTGGGAACACACAGGTGATTGCATATAGCGAGGGGCGGTATCGGATTTTTGGTGAGACTATAGATATTGCTGTTGGGAATTGCTTGGACCGGTTTGCGAGGGTTCTAACTCTGTCTAATGATCCAAACCCTGGGTACAACATTGAGCAGGTATGCAATTGGAAGCAAGTTTCCTTCACCTATATCAGTGGTAGATTGACACAGAGACTGACCATTAATAGTCATATCTTTTATAGGTTATTGTGTTGAAATGTCTTCAAACTTGAGGAAGACAAAAAAATAAATTGAGCTGCTATTTGTTGTTTTACTTGTTTAACTATAGAAGTTTACTGATTTTTTTTATAGATCTGTTCTCTGCCGATTGGTTGAGAAAACTTCATTTCTTACTCTGATTTAGTTTTGCATTGTGTTCTAAGAAGCGCGAACACAGACATGTGACACGGCATGGATACACATGGACATGCCGACACGTCAATTTTCAAAAAATGTAGGACACAACACGTGGAAGACACGCACGGAATATATAAGTATATATATTTATTATATGTCATATCAACAATTTTTTTGGTATCACATCGGTTATAGAATTCAATTGTAATAAATTAATTCAAAATAGTAATATTATTTCAATTTATAACTTCACAGATAAGAAGTTGAAATTGTTTTTACACATTGAACTGATAAAAATATTCATAAATCTCAAATAGCAAACTTCAAAAATAAAGTCCAAATAATGAATTCTATATTTCAGTGTAGCATAAGCAAAAGAGTAATCAATTTCAACTTTAAAAAAAACACCCCTAGATTTTAAAAAAAAAAGAGAGATTAATCATCCAATTTAGAATGAAAGAGCCAACCATCAACACACATAGAAAAACAACAGAATTCCAACATTTGTAAGGTGGATTAGTCACTTGCAACAAAGTCACTCCAATGCTTGAATTCACTTTAAAAAATCAATTAAAAAAATCATAACAGGAAAAATCATATTACCTTTGAAAAACAAAGAAATCGATAACTATGAATTAACAGGAATTGAACATATGATCAAGCACCTTTCAATTTAGTTCCCAAGTCTCTTGATTAGTGTATATCATGACTTGTGAGTTCACATGTTGCTGCTTAATGAATATGAATATGAATTGTATCGGGAAAAAAAATGCATATGAATTGCTAAGTATAACTCTTCTTTCTTTTCTTTTTTCAATTTAGCATGAAGAATTTAATAATTTAGATAATACACGAACACAAATGAAAATAAATAATTACATCTAATTTGGAATCCCATTACAGGCAGGCTCATGGGAAAAAGCTTTGCCCAATTAATTATTATACAGCAATTTACTCAAAATTCTCACTATCATTGTTTTTTCTTCAATATACTCACCATAGCAAAAGAATGCGTAATGAGAAACCCAATAAAAAAAATCTAAATACAAAGATGTTACCTTCTGTAATATCATAGACAATTGCCACTTTTATACACTTGAAATTTGAAGGAAAAAACAAATTTAAAAGTCAAATTCAAAATATATCACTTTAATCGAGTGCCAAGGATTCACAAAAACCAAAAGAATTACATGAGATCGAACAATTTATGTGTAATAAATTTTTATATTACAATTTATTAGGTAGTGCTTAATGAAATGATTAGAAGGCTGTTTTAAATTCAACAATTAGAAGACTTAATCATAAAGTGAAAATTACCACCATCTCAATAAGATAAAAAAATTGGAATGATTAAAGAGATCGTACTTGAGTGCTCAAAGTTGTGATTTAAAACATTCCCTACAAAAACCATGCACGTTGTGTAAAAAAAACTTGAATGTGTTTTTTTATTTTTTATTTTTTATTTTTTATTTTAACACTTGGAGTGCCATAGGCACAGGTGGTTCTTTTACGATGAAATGTGGTTATTTTACGATGAAATCATGAAGCTGTTCTATTTATACCCAAAAGACAGTATAAGTTGATTTTACTATTACCCAATACTATCAATTTAATTGAATTGAATCAATCTGACAAAGACATGACTTATTGTACATTGTTTTCTTATGCATTTTATTAGTTTCTTTAGACCAAGAATCAAACCATCTAATTCAAGCAATCAATCAAAACCAAACAATAATATAAAATTCTAAACATGTCAGTATCAATAATATAAAATTTAAGCTATAGATGCATTGTTTTATGTCAATTTTAATAACCTGCCAATCAATAATACCAAGAACAAAAAGAGATTTGATTCCACAATAAATATGGCTAAATCATTACACTATGAGAAAAATAGAATTTGAAAGTAGACTAACAAATAGAAGGCTTCTCTGTTAAACCAACTGATAATGATGAAATTATAAACAAACAATTAGAGGATTCTATGTAAATAAGAAGACTTTTGTATATGAGATTAATCAAAGATTGAACAGGATGATACTACAAATTCAAATAATTAAGTTATGATATTCAAAACCAATTAACTGAAAAAAAAAAATTCAAATATCTATCAGTAACACAAAGAAGCCATGAATTTGAATCTTAGTAAATAAAAACTCCGACTCAACTTCTATAAGTCTAAAACAAATTAACTCATGAATTTACTTTTTATATCAATAACTCGTGCCAATTAAACAATATCAATAACTCAATATACCAAAATTTTATAGATATTGAATTTACATTTGGTTTATTGAATTTACTGTCTTGCTTACATTGGTAAAGTTTCGAATTCCATGAAAATTGAATATATTTGTACCAATTAAACAAAACCAAAATTTTAACTGAGATAAGGGGTGGGAGTGAGTGGGAATCATTCTATTATAAATCTTCAGCCTAAACAAAATCCAAACACACGTGGGCTGAACTGGTGGTGTATGATGAGATTACAAATATACATTAAATATTGAGGGAAAAAAACAAAGATTGCATATTGTTTTCCTATGCATTTTGTTAGTTTCTTTGGACCAAGAATCAAATCATCTAATTCAAGCAATCAATCAAAACCACACATAATAATATAAAATTCTAAATCTGCCAATATCAATAATATAAAATTTAAGCTAAAGATGCACTATTTATGTCAATATCAATAAGAGCCAAATAGATTATTTCTTAGAGAGAAAAGTGGACTGTCTAAAATGTAATGATTGTAAGGTGATTCTTAGAGAGAGCTTGGTCTCTCAACATAGGATTTTGGTACTAGATTTATGTTTTAGAAGGCAATACCAAGTTAGGAAGGATGGTGGGCGTTGTAGGACGAGATTGTGGGACCTAAAAGGGGATAAATTAGAAATATTTAAGAATAGAATGGATAATGAAGGTACTTGGGACTTGAAAGATGATGCTAACACTATGTGAAATTCGATGGCCAATTGTATGAGGAGAATCTCAAGGGAAGTGCTTGGAGAGTCGAAAGGGACGGGACCCAGCTCTCGGGAAACTTGGCGGAGAGAAGAGGTTCAAGCTGTAGTTAAGGCAAAAAAGAGTGTTTTACAAAGTGACAGAAGGATAGAACTGAGGAAAACCTTAAGAGCTATAGATTGGCTAATAAAGAGGTCAAAAAAGTAGTGAGAGAGGCTGAGTTGAACGTTTATAATGACTTATACACTAGACTAGATAGTAAGGAGGGAGAGAAGAGGGTATATAAACTTGCTAAGATACAGGAGAGGAAAACAAGAGATTTTAATCAAGTTAAGTGCATCAAGAGTGAGTATTCTAAGGTATTGGTGGAGGATGAATAGATAAAGGAAAGGTGGAAGAACTATTTTGAGAAACTATTAAATAAGGAACATGGAAGTACGATAATGGGGGAAGAAATAGCCAGTAATACGATAAACCAAGATCATAGGTTCTATCGCAGGATTAGGAACTTTGAAGTGGAGATTGCACTTGAGAAGATGAAATCAAATAAGGCTTTAGGACCCGATGATATCCTTATTGAAGCTTGGAAGTGTTTGGGTAAAAAGGGGTTACTTGGCTGACTAGGTTATTTAGCAAAATTTTGTTGACTGGGAACATGCCAGATGGGTGGAGGAAGAGTATTTTAGTGCCAATCTATAAGAATAAAGGAGATGTCCGGAATTGCAACAACTATAGAGGAATCAAGTTAATGTGTCATATAATGAAAGTGTGAGAGAGGGTGATGGAACGCTAATTGCGAGATATAACAGTGGTGTCAGAGAATCAATTTGTGTTTATACCTGACAGGTCAACAATGGAGGCGATTTATCTTTTGAGAAGAGTAATAGAAAAGTATAGAGAAAAGAAAACAGACATTGATATGGTGTTTATCGACCTTGAGAAAACATATGGGTACCCTGGAATATAATATGGTGGGTGTTAGAGAAGAAATGGGTGACAAAAGGTTACATTGATGTGATCAGGGACATGTATAAAGGGGTGGTGACCACTATTAGGTTGCCTGCTGGAGAGACAAATGAATTTTCTATACCTGTAGGGTTACACCAAGGATCTACCTTAAATCTTTATCTTTTTGATTTAGTTATAGATGAGTTGACGAGAAATATTCAGGATGATATGCCACAGTGTATGCTTTTTGCAGACAATATTGTGTTAGTGGATGGGACTAGAGGAGTTAACACAAAGTTGGATGAGTTGGAGAAAAGCTCTTGAATCTAAAGGATTTCGGATAAGTAGAATTAAGACAGAGTACATGGAGTGTAAATTTAGTAACAACAATAATGAAAGTAGAGGAGAAGTGAAGATTGAGAACTAAGAACTGCCTAAGAGTGAACAATTGTGTTATTTAGGGTCAATTATCACAACAGTGGGGGAGATTGATGCGGATATGGCCTATAGGATTAAGGTGGGATGGTATAAGTGGAGAAGTGTGTTTGGGATATTGTGCGATAAACGAATACCCACTAGACTAAAAGGTAAGTTCTATAGAACAACTATTAGACTAGCGATGTTGTATGAGATGGAGTGTTGGGCAACCAAGAAACAACATGTAGATAAGATGAGTGTGGCTGAGATGAAGATGCTAAGGTGGATGCATGGCAAGACTAGACAACATAGAATTAGGAATGAGTGTATTCGAGAATGGGTAGGAGTAGCACCGATAGAAGATAAGTTGAGCGAGAATCGATTGAGATGGTTTGGTCACATTCAACGGAGACCAACAGAGGCAGTAG